AGTGCAGTGACTGAGGACTGAATTCTGCAGAAGGGTCACCAGACTCGAAACGTTAACTCATGTTTAGTAAACTTGTTGGTGATTTTGAGAATATAACTAGCAAAATAGACAGAGGAACTAGTGGCTTTCAGAAAGCTTCCAGTAAAGTTTCACTCAAGAGGTAAGCAAGGAAAATTTGAGAATATCAGATTGGGGGAATACACTGACATAGATTGAGAACTAGCTAATGGATAACTAACAGCATAAAAATTAAATTAGATTTTATTGTCACGTGTGCTGCAGTACAGGGATACAGGATTACAGTGAAAAGTGTACAAGATTGTCATTCCTGGCGTCATGTGAGATACAGTAATTTTCGGAGATTGGCAAACTGCATCTAGTGGGGTATCACAAGGATCGATTCTTAAACTCCAGCTGTTCACAATCTGTATCAATGATTTGAATGTGGGCATTTAATTAAACAATTTCAAGTTTACAGATTACAGAGAACTAAATGCAAGTGTAAGTTGTGAAAAGGATGCTGAGCCGCATCAGGCAGCTTTGAAAGTCTGAGTGGAAAAACGAAAGAGCAAACATTTATCTGATGTGGATGTGAGGTTATCCATCTCAAAGTCAAAGGAAAGTCAAATCCGGATAGCTTCTTAAATTGTGAGAGGGGCTGGGAAGTATTGAATTTGGAAACAAGTGTTCTTGTTCATGAGTCACTGAAAGTTACCATGCAGATGTAGCAAGCAATTGAGAAAACAAATGGTATGTTGGCATTTTTTACAAAAGGGTTTGTGTACGGGAGTAAAGATCAGATAGATACATGAATAGGAAAGGATAGGAGGAATATGGGCCAGGAGCAGGCAGGTGGAACAGTTTATATTGGGATTATGTTCAGCATGGACTGGTTGGACTGAAGGGTCTATTTCCATGCTGTTACAACTCTGACTGCATGTGTCACTTCATTTCTATAGAGTCTTATTCAAACCACACCTAGAGGATAGTGTGCAGGTCTGATTTTCTTACCTCAGTAAAGATATACTTGTGATACAAAAACAGAAGTTGCTGGAAAAGTTCAGCAGGTCTGGCAGTATCTGTGAAGAGAAATCAGAGTTAACGTTTTTTGGGTTTGGTGATCCCTCCTCAGAAGATCACTTTATCTCTGATTTTTTAAAAAAAATGATTCACCGGATGAGAGCGTTGCTGGCATGGTAGCATTTATTGCCCATTCCTAATCGCCCAGAGGGCAGTTAAGAGTCAACCACATTGCTGTGGGTTTGGAGTCACATGTACGCCAGACCAGGTAAGGATGCCAGTTTCCTTCCCTAAAGGACATTAGTGAACCAGATGGGTTTTTCCAACAATTGACAATGGATTCATGGTCATCATTAGATTCTTAATTCCAGATATTTATTGAATTCAAATTCCACCTAATTCGATATGACTCTTCTTCAGGACCCAAACAATGGCAAAAATGCTGTGGATGCTGAAGATCTGAAATAAACCCAGAATTGCTTTGAAGTCAAATATATAGCCCTGAATTTACATGAATCAGAGTCCAATAAGTTTTTTTCCAGCTTCCCCTGCGCCCCCCCGCAAGGGAAAAGATGTTTTCTGTTCACCTTATCTGTGCCCCTCATTATTTTATAAACCTCAATAAGGTCACCCCTCAACCTCCTATGTTCCAGTGAGTGCCCTTTAGGGAAGGAAACAGCCATCCTTACCTGGTCTGGCCTACATGTGACTCCAGACCCACAGCACTGTGGTTGGCTCTTAACTGCCCTCGGGGCAATTAGGGATGGGCAATAAATGCTGCCTAGCCAGCGATGCCCTCATCCCGTGAATGAATAAAAGAAATGAAGAATAAAATCGCAGCCTCTCCTTATAACTCAAACCCTCCAGTCCTCGTATTTCACATGGGAAACCTCACAACCTTTAAAAAGTATTTTGACGAGCACTTGAAATGTCATAACATTGATTTGTAATATAAAAGAGTTTTGCGATGTTCCTGTGAGTGTTTACAACAGATCACTGGAATTACTGATGTTTTATTTATGGATCTGTCTCTTTCTGACACACCACCCTTCTGCTAGGTCCTCATGCTCAGAGCCATATCCAGCATTCCTAGCTGATGATTTCTGAACTCCTGTGTGGAGAACTCCTGAGGACCTCCCCACTCCCCAGATTTCTGAAAATATTGTTACATTCCCCACTGTAAACGTTACCACAGACTCTCCCCTTAATATTTTACAATTTCTGCTCTCTTTCCTGTACATATTGCAAAGAATAGTGATTGCCTGCCCATTGATAATCATGCCTTTATGATAAATGAAAAATAAAAAAGTCTTTTTTATTTCTGTTAAAATTCCTTTATAAAATGAGAGCATCATTGACTAGACCAGCATTTATTGTCCATCCATAATTATCCAGAGATCAGTTAGGAATCAAAGTCATTGCTGTGATAAACGAACAGGAAGCTGGAAACACACAGCAAGGCAGGCAGTTTCTGGTGGAAAGGAGCAGTCAACATTTTGGGTATTCATGTGTACCAGCAGATTTCTTCCCTAAAGCACATTAGCGAACCGGATCGGGTTTTACCATTTACCAGCAAACCACTGTGGTTACATGGTTGCCATTAGAGTCATACACCATGGAAACAGGCCCTTTGGCCTAACTCTTGTATGCCAACCAGGTTTCCTAAACTAAGCTGGTCCCATTTACCTGCATTTGGCCCAAATTCCTCTAAACCTTTCCTTTCCATGTACCTGCCCAAAGGTCTTTTAAATGTTGCAATTGCACTTTCCTTTAGCAGCTCATTCCACATACACACCGTCCTTTGTGTGAAAACGTTCCCCCCCTCAGGTCCCTTTTAAATTTTTCCCCTCTCACACTTAATCTATGCCCTTTCATTTTGTACACCCCCACCTTGGGGAAAAGACTTTGGCTATTCACCTTTCCTATGCCCCTCATGATTTTATGAACGTCTATGAAGTTACCCTTCGGCCTCTAATGCTCCAGGGAAAAAGTCCCAAAGGAATTGCATTACCATCACCAAAAATAAGGATGTTATTGTTCAGTTATACAGGGCATTGGAGAGACCACTTCCTGTACGCTGTGTGCGGTGTTAGACTTCTTATTGAAGGAAGGATGTAAATGTATTGGAGATTGTTTGCGGGATTGCAATGAGAGGGTTGTCTTTGAGGAAAGGTTGGACAGACCGGGTTTGTTTCTAATGGAGTTTGGGGTGGGGGGTGGATCTGATTGAAGTGTATCAGATCCTGAATGGTCTTGATAAGATGGATTTGGAAAGGATTCTTCATTTTGTGAGGCTCCAGGTTAGCGTAGGCCTGGAGCTGGGGCCTCCAGGTTATTGGTGAGGTGGCGGCAGAGCTGGGGGCTACTGGTGGAAGGGAGTGTGTGGATCCAGTATGGGACCTGGCATAGGCAAGTGGGCCCAGCGGCGAAAAGATGGCGTCTGAAGAGTGGAATTCTGACGTTGGTGGGCAGGTGGTAAGCTATTGGAGGATAGGCAATGACTCAGGTGTCATTGGTGAACCGGCTCAGGGCAAAGGACTCATGGCAGAGGTGGGGGAATGAAGATAGACTGTCTTTCAGGTATATTTCTTTATTCTTTCTGTTCTCAAACTATTCAAAATGGCACCGGATCGTGGAAACAGTTGAATCTTTTTGCTATATTTTACTGTATTATTCACTGTAAAATACAAGGGGCAACAACTCATTCAATTTGATTCAAGTACTGGAAAATGGAACTACTGTAGCTCCAGAGTAGTTTTTGTCAGTGCGGACTCAGTAGGCTAAAGTGGCTCTTCTGTACAGTGTATTTATACCATGCCTTCTATATCGTTGGGGCTAAAGACCACATTTGAAGGATTGCTTTTGTAACATTGAAGCTTTATAGAACTTTAGTTAGGCCTCACTTGGAATATTGTGTACAGTTCTGGTCACCACACTACCAGAAGGATGTGGATGCTTTGGAGAGGGTACAGAAAAGGTTTCACAGGATGTTGCCTGGTGTGGGGGATTGTAGCTATGAAGAAAGGTTGGATAGACTGGGTTTGTTTTCACTGGAACGCAGGAGGTTGAGAAACGACCTGATAGAAGTCTATAAATTTATGAATGGCATGGATAGCATGGAAAGTATGAAGCTTTTTCCCAGGGTGGAGAGGTCAGTTACTAGTGGGACACAGGTTCAAGGTACAAGAGGGGAAGTTTAAAAGAGATGTGCGAGGCAAGTTTTTCACACAAATGGTGGTGAGTGCCTGGAACGCGCTGCCAAAGGAGGAGGACACACCAGCAGCATTCAGGAAGCACCTGGATGAATATATGGACAGGAAGGGAATAGAGGGATACGGATCCTGTATGTGAAGATGGTTTTCGTATGGAAGGGCAAAATGTGTCGGCACAGGCTCGGAGGGCCGAAGGGCCTATCCCTGTACTTTATTGTTCTTTGTTCTAACATACGCAATATTGTGATGGAGGAGAATGCATCAGCCAAAACACCAAAGCAAATCCCAGAGACACAAGAGATGATGCCGCCTTGAAAGGGGAGGGCAGTATCTGAAGTCAGGATACCATTCATGATGTCCATTACCCTGGGGACCATGAGGTGATGTTTGGAGACTTACATTTTTTCATAAAACTGAGCCAAGAAAACAGAAGGTAGTCAAGTTTAGCTTCGGAACGGCTTGAGAAAGGCTTTGGGAAATACTAAAAGCAAATTCAGGGAGACTAACAGCAACTGGTAGAATACCTTCAATAATCATTCAATCCCAACTAAAGAGTGACTTACAAACAATTTGGTTTTCACTTGCTGAGAAATAAAAAATTTATTGTTATATTTGAAAGAACATTGCAAAATGTTACATTTACAGGGTTTTTAGTTCATCTCACCATGAACACTAAAGTTCAGAATTTTCAAATTATTTTAAATTCATGTATGAATGTAGAGTTCCTATATCCTCCTCGAAGACAAGGTCACCGTGTGTTTTTCATGCTTAAAGACAGCTGCACATACAGTTACTAGGGGAATCCATTGAGCTACGAATATCTGCAGTCTTCCGACTGAAGATCACAGGATCACGTATAGTAAAATCTGTCAATAGGAAAGTCCAGGATAAGAAGGAGAATACATAGAAAAATATTTGCAAAGTGATGACTTTCTCTCTCTATTTAAAGATCATTTTAATCTGTTTCAGTGCATATCTGAATCATCAGGTAACAGAGGGACATCTCATGTGAAGCCACAAGGAATGCAGGGAGATCCAAACTAGTGGAATAAATATTGAAGGACTGAACATACAGGATTTTAAATGTAAATACTCAAAATTAAATGCATTTAAAAGTATAATGTTGCTGCTGTAATATCATACTGTGAGTTTATACAAACTTGCTCTCCATTCTTTAAAAATAGATGTGATTACATGAGTTCAGTGGGGTTTGAGGGGACGTGTTGATCTAAGCAGTTAGCCAGATGCTAATCACTGTTTTGAAACGAGACATTTTAACTCTCTGCATAATAGATTGAATTCCCAAACAGCTGTATGTTCTGATCACAATAGCTATAGGCCATTGATAGAAAATAGGAGCAGGAGTAGGCCATGGGCCCTTTGTGAGCCTGCTCTGCAATTCAATATGATCATGGTTGATCATCCAACCCAGCACCCTGTTCCCACTTTCTCCCCATACTGTTTGATTCCTTTAGCCTTAAGAACTATCTCTAACTGCTTCTTGAAGGCATTCAATGTTTTGGCTTCAACCGCTTTCTGAGGCCAAGATTCCCATAAGGAATTTGGGAGAGACCTCTTCAGCCAAAGAGTAGGAAGAATATGGAATGAGCAATGACTAGAAGTGGTTGAAGTAAATACTCTCAATGCATTTAAGGTGAGAAGTAGGTAAGGATTTGAGGATGAAGTGAATACAGGTTATGAGGAGGAAAAGATGGGAGAAGAATGGAACAGAAGCATAGAACGGTTGGCTAACTGACTTGTTTCTCTGCCATATAATCCTATGTAAATTCTGTTATAATGTATTCAATACATTAGCACAACACACTTACTGGCTGGAACACAGTGGAAATTGACAATCTGAGAGCGTGTTTCAAGCGGTGAACAGCCTTCCAGGCATCGTTGAACTGGTTCAACGGAGTAACAGTTGGATTCCACCCCTTCAAATTCAATGACTTTTCCTAATTGCACAAATTCTGATCTAACTGTGCAGTCTGAAATTCAACAAGGTACAGTTTATTGCCACAGAAAAATGTAGATGAGACGATGGTTTAGGGAGAGAACAAGATTTAAAATGAGTTGAGATTCTCTTACCATCGTTGCAGGACTGTCCTGGATACGTCCATGATTCAAAAAGGCGCTCAGCATTTGAAACTTCTTCGTGATTTGGCATTATCATTTTTTTCTCACCATCATTACATCCACAAATACCACATGTCTTCTTTATCATCTGATCAAGTACAATCTATATCCAGTGGCAAAATACATTAGTACACCAACTACTATATAGCATATAATGCCAAATTTAATGGTTTAATTTGTTAAAAAGCAAAAGATACCTGTACTCTGATTCCATCAAAATATAATTGGTTAATATTGATTGATGGTGCCTCTAAAATAATTCCAGTATCCCTCTGCCGAATAGCTACGATATCTAGAACAAGACAAAGATCCATTTTCATAACCGGATATTTTTAATCAACTTGTTTAGACATGTTATTACACAGCTCTAGGACTTTGAACACAGGCTTCCTGGTCCCTTATCACTGTGCATTTTTATTTATTTATTAAATTATTTCAAATGTTTTTAATTGAAATTTTTCTCTCTTCACCTGGACATAAACCTGTACCTGTACAGATTGTACATAGATGTGAAATGCGAACTCCTCCAGATGCATAAATTATAAGCTGCCTGAGAGTTTATTAAATACTTTATTGCATGGAACCATCAATTACAACACCCTCCGTTCCAAATCCCTGATGGGTGAGGCAAGGGCTGCTTATATAGACAGCCTTCGACTGTGGAGACTGCCTCCTCCAGACATTTTCATTTAACCTCTTCAGATATATCATAAAACATCTCTGGCGCAGGTTGGACTTGGGCCTGGGTTTACCTGGCTCAGAGGTGGGGACTCTACCACTGGACCACAAGGGTCCACACTCAGGCAATTTGAATCCTCTGACAATGTACATCAAGCAACTGCTGTCAATAAGATAATATGAACTGCCTTCAGCAACAAGATGATTGTAATCTACATAGTATGTGGACTAAATTGGATGCTGATTGAATTTTGAAAGTAACTCAAAGATTAAATTGAGATGTGAATCTAGGATAGTGTGTTGCTTTCCCAGTGCCACAATTAGGGACGTCTAAAATGCGTATTGTTAAAGGGCAGAGTGAGAAACCGGAAGTGGTGGATGTGGGTGCAATTACAACGTTTAAAGGACATTTAGGTAAGTACGTGAATAAGAAATGTTTGGAGGGATATGGGACAAGTGCAGGCAAGTGGGACTAGTTTAGTTTGGGATTATGGTCGGCGTGGACTGGTTGTACCGAAGAGTCTGTTTCCGTGCTTTATGACTATATGCCAACAGACCCACTACATGTGCTATTGCTTAAAAAAAATCAACAGCCAAATGTGAAAGGAACAATTTCTCACGGTTCTACATAACTTGAGGGCAGCCTTTAATAATCAAACATTTATGCCCCATTGTGTGAAATAGTGCAAGGTACCATGATGAATAGTGCATTCAAACTTCCAAAACAGATGGCCAAAGAACTCTTGCAAACTTTCCATTCAACTTTTTATAAGTGATCAAGTGGGAATATACAAATGTGAATATTCCATCAAACTCCGAACTTTAAGAAATACGAAATGGAATAGGTTGTTTAGCCCTTTGAGCCTGCTCCACCATTCAATAGGATCATGGCTGATCCGACATTCCTCATGTCAACTTTCCTGCCCTTTTCCCATAACCCTTGAATCCCCAACTGATCAAGAATCTATCTATCTTAGCCTTAAATATACACAAGGACTCAGCCCTCACAGCTGTCTGTGGCAAGGAGTTCCAAAGACTCATAACTGTCTGAGAGAAGAAATTCCTCTTTATCTCAGTCTTAAATTGACACCCCTTTATTTTGAGACTATGCCCTCTGATCCTAAACTCTACCATGAAGGGAAACATCCTCTTAGCATTTACCCGGTCAGGCCCTTAAGAATCCGATATGTTTCAATGAGCTCACCACTCATTCCTTTAAATTACAATGAGTCCCAACCTGTTTAATCTTTGCTTATAAGACCGTCCTTCCAGGAATCATCGTAGTGCACCTTCTCTCAACTGCCTCCAGTGAAATAATCTCTTGTGCCTTGTAGATGGTGGACAGACTTTGAGGAGTCCAGTGATGAGTTACTTAATGCAGAATTCTCAGCCTCTGAGCCACTGTTGTGGCCAATGTATTTATATGACTAGTCTAGTACAATTCTGGTCCTGATTTATAGAAATGTGAAGAGACTTCTGAAATGGGAATGTATACCTGAAGTCTGTTAGGCATGAAAATTTTACTCACCACGCAGTTCTTCAATTGGCTTGGCTGGATCTCTCTCTATTTCATTGACCAACAACTTTATTCCACGTAGCGTAGGGATTGCTTCAATGCTCCTGTTTAAAATCAAACAGCCAAATCCTAATGAAACAGCTGTAAATGTTTATGGCATTGGAACAATTTAAAAAATGGAGTGAGAGAGAGGCATTTGAATAACTACGTTCACTTTTTTTTTGTATCCCACATTCCCCCATGGTGCACTCCATTCTATACGTTTAATCTCTTATGGAATGCCTTGCATTCACTTCTTTCATCCCAAATGAAGGAACGGGTCCTCAACTATTCACCACCATGAAATCGCTCCCTCTCCTCTGCCAGAAAAATGAAAGTTGTAGGGAGGAAATAAAGAAAGAAACAAACATGCACTCACTATTCTTAAATATCAGAAAATATTTTGTATATAGTGACTTTCTTTGAAATGCAGTCTTATTGCGTTGGAATATCATGATAGTTCTGTTACCAAGGTATCCAATCCATGAGTAACTTGATATTTTAACTAATGCTTTCAGCTCTTCCATCTTTAATGGCACTTCAGAACTGTGCAGAATCCCTGATGTTTTTGTGGGTTAACTACTTCAGATGTTTACCAATCTGGTAGCTTGTATTCATTTAAAATTGTGGTATCATGGTTTGGTAAAAAAGAAATATTGCATGTATTAAATTGGGAGGAAGACAATAGCATTGTGGTAATGTTACTAGGCTCTTAATCCAAAGTTAACATCCTAGGGATGCAGGTTTAAGCCTCATTAAGACAGTTGGTGGAACGAATTCAATTAATAGAGCTAGTATAGAATGCTAGCCTCAGTTATGGTGGTCATGATAGTTATCACCAGTTGTTATAAAACCTTCTGGTTCATCAACCCTCCAGAGAAGGGAATCTGTCATTCTGAAGAGGGGTCATTGGGCCTGAATGCTCAAAGCTTTCTCTCCACAGATGCTGCCAGACCTGTTGAATTTTTTGAGCAATTTATGTTTTGTTCCTAATTTCCAGCATCTTCCATTCTTTTGATTTTTAATCTGCCCTTCTTGCCTGTTGTGGCTACCATGGGACTCCAGGCCCACAACATCATGGTTGACTTTTGACTGCCCTCCGAAATGCCAACTACTCAGTTCAAGACAATTAGAGTTGGGCAATAAATCCTGGCCAATGACACCCACATCCCACGAAAGAATGTATTTTCAAAAATTATCACCTGCTTTGGAATATCACCCATCACACCCTTCAATAAAACAATCACTTCACCTAGAAATATCGAGTAAACATTAAAGATCACCAAAGATGAAAGCTGATTTAACTTACGTGTTATTCCTAGCCAGCACCAATTTTATTTCTTTCAGTCGCTCGTTAGTTTTAGCTCGTCTCATCAATAATATGAAGTTTGGAGTTTCTGAACAATCCTGGGTCAGGACATGATAGCATCTATTGGGTAGAGAACTTCTCAATTCTACCTCATCAAAGGTCCTAACAGTATCATTTTCTGCAATACATTCACCTGCAGAACAATCAAAGAATGTTTACAAAGAATCATTCCACAGCCAACATACAAGTCTTGCTAAATTCTCAAAGAGTTGTAGGCAGTACCATTGCTAAAAACAGATTTCATTCATTGAATTCCCAACAGGCTCATTTTTACTTGAAGATATGGAAATTATTGGAGATGACACAAATAAATGCTAATGCTCATCTCATTCTTTTCACCCTTATAATAGTAAGTAAAGTCACCATTGTCCCAAAGGGCACCTCTCTCATTAGAGGGAGACGACTGATGGTGGTTTAATCTGAGGGCCACCACGCCTCTGACAAGGGGAGAGGTTGGGAAGGAGAATCCTTCAGGTAACCCCTAGCCCTTATGATAATGGATTGGTTAATCTGTGTGAAATTAACAAGTTAAAGGTAAAATAGGAGACATGCAACAGCATTAACATAAGGCAATCATTGACGCATTAATATTCTTATGTTAACAGTATTTCATCTTTTGGGTTTGTAATGCAGAGTAATGCCAACTGCATGGGTTCAATTCCCACACTGGCTGAGGTTACCATGAAGGACTATCCTTCTCAACCTCTCCCTTCGCCTGAGGCATGGTAAACCTCAGCTCAAATCATCAGCGGTCATCTCTCTCTCTCTCTCTCTCTCTCTGTAACGAGAGAGCAGCTCTATGTCTGGTAAAACTAAGGTGTCTTTACCTTTGATAATGAGATAACAAGGTGCAGAGCTGGATGAACACAGCAGGCTAAGCAGCATCAGAGGGGCAGGAAGGCTGACGTTTCGGGCCTAGACCCTTCTTCAGAAATGGGGGAGGGGAAGGGGGTTCTGAAATAAATAGGGAGAGAGGGGGAGGCGGATAGAAGATGGATAGAGGAGAAGATAGGTGGAGAGGAAACAGATCGGTCAAAGAGGTGGGGATGGAGCCAGTAAAGGTGAGTGTAAGTGGGGAGGTAGGGAGGGGATAGGTCAGTCCAGGGAGGATGGACAGGTCAAGGGGGCAGGATGTGGTTAGTAGGTAGGAGATGGGGGTGAGGCTTGAGGTGGGAGGAAGGACAGGTTAGGGAGGCAGGGACAAGCTGGGCTCGTTTTGGGATGCGGTAGGGGGAGGGGAGATTTTGAAGCTTGTGAAGTCCACATTGATACCATTGGGCTGCACTTTACCTTTGTCTTGATTTCATCTTTAGAAATTCACCCTAAATTATTTGACTGGTTCCAAAACTTGAAGAACTTCTGTAACGTGGAGGGAAACTTTTTCAACATCGCTGCTTTATCTGCTCCCCATGGAGCATCTGTTATTGGTTTTAATATTTAAATAATCTGCATGAGCTTCAAACTAAATTCAAGACAAGTTTTCACACAGACCACCACAACCAATTCTGGAGATGAGAATCTGAAATGATAATTACGTTCATTTATTGCTAGAAGCAGGTCCTGAATTTCAGTCACGCTGCTGAAGCCTTTTTGCTGCACTCGTACACTTATCGCATGCATGGGCAGTGCTGTGGGAATCTGCAAACCCTGATAGTAGGCTGTCATCTGAAAGAGAAATGAAAAGGTTTATGGTCCTACTGGCGTGGAAGAGCTAAGTGTGAAATAGAGAGATCACCGAGGCACCATGAAGCAACAGTAGATAAATACCCGGGGCAGTCTGATGATTGTATCAACTGTTCGTGGAGAGGTTAGAGCCGCCAATACTGTAATCTGACGAGAAGGATTGTGTTGATGGGTCTGAGAGAATCCTAATGCATAGGCCAATCCTGGGACATAGTCGCCAACCCTGACCCAAAAAGAAATGGATGGGATATTAGTATTGTGCAAATCAAAACAGATGAAGTATAATTTAGATAAATATGAAGTTATCAACCTTGGTAGCAAACGCAGGAAGGCAAATTATTATCTGAATGGGAAAGTGGGAGGTGTAACAAGATCTGGGCGCCCTTGTTTACCAGTCGCTGAAGGTAAGCATGTAGGTACAGCAGGCGGTAAAGAAGGCAAATGGTATATTGGCCTTCATAGTGAGAGGAGCAAGGATGTCTTACTGCACTGTACACGGCATAGGTGAGACCACACCCGGAATACTGTGTGCAGTTTTTTGGTCTCTTTATCTGAGGAGGAATGTTCTGGCAATGGACGAACTGCAACAAAGGTTTACCAGACTGATTGCTGGGATGGCAGGACTGACATAATGGGGAGCGACTGGATTGGTTAGGAAGATACTCATTACAGTTTAGAAGAATTTAGGTTTCTCTCACAGAAACCTGTCAAATTCTAGAACATAGAACAGTACAGCACAATACAGGCCCTTCTGCCCACAATGTTGTGCCGACCTATTATCCTACTCTAAGATCAAACTACCCTGCGTACCCTCCATTTTACTATCATCCATGTGCCTACCCAAGAATCGCTTAAATGTCCCTAATGTATATGACTCTCTAACTCTATCTAACAGATTAGACAGAGTTAGAGAGTCATAGAGGGTTGCAGCACAGAAAAAGACCTTTCATTCCACCAAGCCCACACTGGTCAAAAATGAAAGTGAATTATTCTAGTTGCAGGAAGGATGTTTCCAATGACTGGGGAGTCCAGAACCAGATGGGGTAGGCTATTTAGGACTGAGATGAAAAATGTCTTAACCCAGAGGGTGTGAGCCTGTGGAATTCTCTGCCGCATAACAGTTGAAGCTAAAACATTGAAGACTTTCAAGAAACATAATATGTGGTTCTTAGGGTTAAAGGGATCAAAGGATATGGGGAGAAAGTGGGAACAGGGACCATATGGAATAGTGGAGCAGGCTCAAATGGCCTACTCCTGCTCCTATATTCTATATTTCTAATTATGTTGTAATACTTACACTCTTGCGTTGTATTTCAGACCGTTAGGAATCTTTCCCCATTGCATTTTGACCTTAACTGCTGGATGACTTGCAAGACGACCATTGGATACTCTAACGGAAACTCTGTATCTCTCACAGTTTTCACCCCACCTTGCTGATGTCTACAGAGCGAAAACAAGCCACAGTGAGACAAGGAGACGTGTTATCTGTGGGTGCTTCAGAAATGTTTAGCAGAAAACAAATGAGTTAAAGCAGACCCAGCCATTACCAGCACTTTGTGGGAGCTGGGCATTGCTGCGTCAGCGCAGATTCTCCAGTTACTTGATTCGTTCAGTTCCACCACACGCAAGTGAACTCGAGGCAGGCGAGATGACATTCTCCCGTATCCTGTGAGCTGGTAGCCTTGTTGTCGGCCATCGGTCCTTCTAGATCGAAGCAGAACCACTAGCAAAGGAGCGCCCAGCTTGCTAATCAGATAGCGCTGAAATTGTAAATAAAAATATAGGTCATGTTTTAAAACAAAAACATTCCTCCGCCACAATAATCTCCAAGCACTGAAAACTGCTCAGTAACAATGAGACAAACCTGTGCAGATGATCCGAGGAGAGACGCACCATAACTGGCACGACTTTGCCTTGACCCTGAGCTACGTCTTTCCTTGATAATAAGGCTTGCACTTGAGGTAGATTTTGAAGTTGAAACACGTAGTGACCTCTGACTTGTGACTGTGTACTGAATAAAACCAATTCACAAGTTGATAATCTGAAGATACAGATGAGAAACCAAAGGCTAAGCTGTCTCAATGACTGCTGGCTGATAATTAATTGTTTTTTTTTAGTCTCTTAACCTCATCTGCGCAAATGTAAATATTTCAGTGTCACAATATGAATAACATTGACACCAACTATCCACCAGTATATTCTTACAAAACAGATTAAATTAGCTCCAGATAATGAATCTCAAACGTGTTACATAAATGTCCAAATATCACAGAAAAAAAAACACGCTTGATTAGTGTGTTAAAACACACATTAGAGAAGTATATTTATCTTACCCTGCTGTTTTGCAATGGTCTGAATGCAAGGTCCAGGATTTGTTCACTCAGTGGCTGTGGAAATATATTCAAATAAAGTTACTTTTCTAGAGAATTCATGAGGTGGTATTGCATTGTCATCATTCCCTGTTTGTCTCATAGATATCGACGATAATCTGAGGTCTTCTTTAGAAACAGAGGCCCCACTTTCCTAAAATCACCTTCATGGATAGACACAGAGCCTAAGGGGGCAGAAACATCATTCCAAGGTGTCCCCTTCCACCATCTTGCCCCATATTTACATACACTTATCATAGAATCACAGAATTCCTAAAGTGTAAAAGCAGTCCATTCAACCCATCAAGTCCACACCAACCCTCCAAATAGCATCCGACCCAGACCCATTCCCCTACCCTTTTCCTGTAACCCTGCATTTCCCATGGCTAACCCACCTGGTCTGCACATCCCTGGACACAATGGGCAATTTAGCACGGCCAATCCACCTAACCTGCACATCTTTTGAAACCGGAGCACCCGGAGGAAACCCACATAGACACGGGGAGAATGTGCAAACTCCACACAGACAGTCGCCTGAGGCTGGAATCAAACCCAAGTCCCTGGCGCTGTGAGGCAGCAGTGCTAACCACTGAACCACTGTGTCATCCTTATGTTCAGTATAATAAGTAAAACATCACATAAAGGAGTAGGGAAGAAGTGTGATATGGTAGGATGATCATCTGTGATCACATTGAATGGTGGAGTTGGCTCCATGGGCCGAATGACCTACTCCTGCTCCTATTTTCTATGTTTTTTGATAAGCAGATTGGCTTAATATTCTCTGTGAACTAGTTTAAATCCAGTCGGAGCTGAGTGGCTCTGTCTCTATTGGTTGGAAGAGTTCTTACAAGAAATAAAGTGTTTCTTCACACTCTCATGGCCAGTAGGTAATTTTGGAAGTTTGGGGAGTAGGTTTTTGATGCTGGTGTTCTGTTGAGACAGGGCAGAGCGACCTTCACTCAATAGAAAGAGTTCATTGCTGAGATCAGGCATAGTAAACATCAGGTTATTGGCATGGACTGTAGCCACAGTTACCTGAATTTGAGAGTTGGCCCTACTGGACCTCCTGCTGATTCTCCTGCTGATCCTCCTGCTGTCCCTCTTAATGATTGTCTTGCTGATCCTTCTGCTGGTCCTCCTACTGATCATCTTACTGCTGCTGCTAGTACTGCTGCTAGTACTGCTAGTGCTGATCCTCATAGCAGACTTTCTTCCAGGAATTCTGACTGGCTCAGAATGTGAGCGTTGAAGGCTACTGGTCATACGACTTAATGATGAGCTTGAAGAGGAAGTGCTTCTGGAACTTGAAGTCCAAGTAGTGTTGTTTCCTCTTTTCTGTGAATAAAGCAACATTTTACAGCAAATTGTTTTGCCAAAACAGTGACTCAATGTGAAAGATTGACATAGGAAAAGGAAGTTTAGGGAATATGCTGGGACTTCCAGAAAGACTGACATATTGGAGACCATGATTGAGTTTATTTCTTTTCCTCTGGTCAGAACTGAAGGAGGTACAAAACCTATTAACATTTGCAACACAGCAAACCAGTTTGATCCCCTGCTGTGGGACTACTGAACCAGTTTATTTGAGTCATTATTAGAACAGGGACTCCAATCACTTATTTTTCCAAGCTACTTGCTCACAGCTTGGTTGACCAACAGGGATATATCATGGAACTTGGTGTTTGCCCATTTCACCTTGTGTTTGGTTAGCGGTGATATTTTGATTATGGCCATCATGCTTTGAGAATGATTGAGAATAATCATGCAGAATTTCTTTGCTTCACATTGCCTCACTAAAAGTTCCAAAATCTTGATACGTTGAAGGTGTAATGTGATGGATCACCACATATATTAATCAGAAGATACCTGATCTCTCTGTTGCATTAGTGTTAGCTGTTGATTACTGTCGGGAACACTTCTTGGTAGTGACTGTTTGTCGGAAAGCCGAATTATTTTTGAAGATGCTTTGGATCCTGCTTGTATCTCCAACACTATCTTTTCAATATCTGGTGCTGAATCAGCTGGAATCAAAAAGATTTTGATGACATGAGCGGTACTTGATTAATGGTTGATGAAAAAACATATTTTGACAAAAGCATTCTGCAAGGAGACCCAAAGACACAGTTTTATTTAACTATCAGAATGATTGTTGTCAATTCATCGAAGAATGTCACTAACATATTGGGACAATCAGGGTTGGACCAGTCAACCAATAAATGGTGACTCAAAGAGAAGAATGATTCAAGTTGCACTCGCTGATCCTCTAGTCTTTTCTATCCGACCTTAACTTTGACCCCTCCTATGCTGATCTAGAGAATGAAAGTCATTGTGCAACTCTCAGGTAAAGTCACGACTTGTGACTGTACAAGCCATGGAATCTACAGTAGTAGGACATTCCATGGTTTGCTTTTGGAAGGCCTTCTTTAAGTGACAATCACTTTAAGAAAAGGAACAGTGATCAGGAATAGAATAGAGGAAGTGTACACAGCAATTTAGACCTTCTGCCTGCTCTACAATTTTCTTACATGCATCATATACATCTACTTAATAGCTGTTCCTTGCCTTCTCTCTCACACCTTAATACGCCTGCTTCCTGAATTCCTTATTTACCTTCTGTCTAAGAACCTCAATTAAAAAGAAAAACGAACATATGAGGAAACCACAACTATGCTTGCCAGTCCTAAGTTTTGCAAATGGCTTCACAACAACCAGATGCTGTAATTTCCAGGGAAGGAGTACAGTACAGGAATAAAAAAAAGCCGCATAATCATTGGCAAATCCCTGTTGAATCAATATGTAAGTGTGCATGGCTTCTCGGTTTTCAGGCTCATAGAGCTACAGTTAATTGGACCCATCTGATGTTTGGACCAAGTTGATGACAAGACAGTTTCTTCCAGTTGTGTGCATGGACTGCAATGCACATGTTCTCATAAAGCTAAGCTTCAATCTTATTAAGTTACGATGCATCAGCACTTTAAGGAAAACTCTTTCTTGTGCTCTTACCTGGTGCAATTGATACATTCAAACTGTGTTCTCCAATCAACCGGTACAATGGGCTATGTCTGATGGAAAGGGCATTTTCCATTCGTGCAGCCACACAAGCTTTGAGGCCAAGTTTGGTTGCTTCTGCACATGTGCGATAGGATGCACGATTTGGAAGACGTGACCTCTGCTCCTCTTCAGAGCGTGGGACTTGGTCAGACAGCGTTTCTGGAGAAAGATGTGACTGTAAGACACAAGGAAATGGAAGATGGCCATGAGATGGTACCGTAAAGATGTGGGGTTTTTTTGCTGCTACATGCTGGGAGACGTTAATGTGTAATGGATTGATGTGGTAAGTGTGCACTGCCTGACAGTAATGACTTGACTCAGTTTTTTTTTCATAAAATCCCTACAGTGTGGAAACAGGCCATTCAGCCCAACACTGACCCTCCAAAGAGCATCCCACCCAGACCCATCCCCATACCTTGTATTTCCCATGGCTAACATACCTAACCTATGCATTTCTGGACACTACGGGCAATTTAGCATGGCCAATCCACCTAACTTGCACATCTTTGGACAGTGGGAGGAAACTGGAGCACCCAGAGGAAACCCCTGCAGACACTGGGAGAACATGCAACCTCCGCACAGACAGTTGCCCAAGGGTTGAATCAAACCCACGCTGTGAGGCAGCAGTCTAACCACTGTGCCACCGTGCCCCATAATTTCTGCTGATGTTTCAACCTGAGCCATTCTCTTGACTGTGGTGACATTCCTTAAAATGCCACCCTTAGGTGCAGGACATGGTAGGCGGATACCAAATTAATCTCAGCCAGAGCAGGAATTGAATCTATGCAGTCGATGTTATTCTAAATCACATTTAAGCCAACTGAGCTAACCAGCCCCACTGGTGGGAGATAATTGAGATCTGAGTGTGAAGCACGTTAATGTGATTGCAAGCAACAGATATCACATACCACAACTCTGTTGCTTGCTGATCGAGATACGGAAGCTGAGGATCTAAACTGTTGTCTTGACATGCGATTTACTGGTGTCACAGGTAAAATTGGAGTAATTTTCTCATTGCTCTCAATGTTTCTTGAAACAGCATAAACCTGAGAACTAAGCATTGAATATTGTGTTAGGCAGTAATATTATATTTGATATCAAATTGTTATCACTTAATCAAACAAGATAGCATTACGTACATCATAGATAGAATCTTGTTCTCCCTTTCAGCTGGTGAACTGTCAATCCTGAAATTTCCATCCTTTAAGTTTAACTTTGCAGTAATGGCTACGGGAATAATTGAACGGACATTTGCCAGGAGCTCCACACCTGATTGGATCTGAGGCATATTTATTCCCATGAATACTCTGGTTTGTACAGACACACTGCAAAAATAACAAAAGGCATCAACAATAAGCAGACCTGGTAAGACTATGAGGCATCATAAAATAATCGCCATGAACAATAGTTCATGTAAAGATAAGTTTAATTGGTAACATTTCTGGTTCTGCAAGCAAAACAGTTTGAATTGAATACCTTGGGTTGAGGTTTGCATTCAGTTGAATTCTGGAAGAGAGCAGCTGACGAATGTTAGTGATTGCAGATTCAGATTTGACATTAACTATTTTGAGAAAAGGGATAACAGAAAAAAAATGGGTCATGACTCTGTTTCTTCCTCGGTGCCAGCTATGCTTCATGTAACCTCTACCAACGCTGCACTACTCCATAATACTATTTCATGCTAATTACGATAGTTGTTCTAACATTTGAACAGTGCCGATAGCTAAAATCTGCCTGACATCACACTCGCGCCAATTTCTGGCCAAATTAGGTGATACATAGAGAGTGAGAGAATGACATCATTTCCGCGTGGCAGAGGATGAGGTAGCAGACTTCAGCATGGTCAGGATCGTCCACCGGCCAAACTAAAGGAAAGCTTTGCTCTCACCCTCAAATTCAAGCATTCAGGACAATCTTACTTTTGGACATTGCTACAGCAGCTAAAGTGATGCCCAGTTCCATTGGCAGTCCGATTGCTGTTGGTACCACATGTCGCATCTCAGCAGCTACCAATGCTTTGGATGGTCTGAAGCTGACCCCGCCTCTAAGTTGTTGTACATACTTGTTCACTTGATCAGAGGTACTCTGTCAAATGCAAAGCAGCAATTCAATTATATCAAGGTTGACAATTTCACAGCATCTATCTTTGGCCTGTTTATTAAAAATATTCTTTATAAGTAATAAAGTTATAAGTTTACTACCTGTTGAAGTCCATCAATGTCATCCTTTCGGAGCTGTACGAAAGCTAATTCTTGACCGAACAGTTTCAAGTATGCTGAAGCCAGAGGTTTCTCTTCTGGTAATTCTTTCCAGTTTATGAACTGTGTATGGTATTAATACAGAACACTCACTAGTCCATATGATCTTAGGTAAAGCATTTCTCAACAAGCTAAGGGGCTAAACTGATCTCACCTTGCTTAAGATGCGACGAATATTTCTGCTGTCAGTTTTCCTGAGGTCAGGTGCAGGACGGGTCATCAGGATCTCCTGGAGACCTTCTGCCCGTAAGCCAATCTGTGAAGAATTAAAAGGAAACATTAAGAAACAAAACTATCTATAAAATAAGCTAGAAAAATCGATACACAAATATTTTCTAGTCAACCTGATCAGAGATGCTATGACTTTGATCTTGGGCCTCCTGTCCCATACTAACACTGCATCAGAAGAGCCTCAGTAACAAATACACAACTGTGCAAGGTTAATTGCCATCGTACCTCTATTAGATCTGATGAGACTCCGAGGGCATGACCTCTGACTTTGGCCAAGAGTGCTGTAGGAATGACACTGCCGGAAGTCCTAACCATAAGAACCTTAGCAGATGCTCCTGCCATCATTTGGTCTACATCACAAAAATAGAACAATTAAATAAGCACTTTCATAGTTCCTTGAAAATGTTGCTGATTGCGTGATAGGTTAAAGAAAGACTTGAAAACAGTTTATAAGATTGGTAGAAAAAGGAACAGGAGTAGGCCATTCAGCCCCTCTAGACTGCTCCGCCAATCAGTCTGATCATGGCTGATCTGTGGCTCATTCATGGTTCTTAGCTAAACTGGATAGTTCATTGTTCGTTCTGAAAGCTTTATAAATAAAGATTGTTTCTATTTTATGGTAGCACAACTCTGAAGGCAATAAATTCATAGGGCTATTTAAGTTATCGTTATAAATGTTGCTACAGGCAGTGGACCAATATACTTACACATAAATGTGTCAGCACGGTAAACCTTGCTGAACTGGTGACCAAGTTGATCAAGTTTGGGACTTAATATTTTCAAAGCTAGATTGCAGGCAGAAGCCCTGTGGACAACAAGAGCAGCAGCGTTTAACAAACATTGGGGCTTAATATTGAATAAGTTGCAATATTACTCTGGTTCAGGGGATCTGTTTACTTACAGTGAATTGATGGATGGAAGGGAACTTCTGGACAGAGCTCTGATGTGTGAGTAGGTAAAACTTGCCACCTGCAAACTGGTCTCGCTTAGCAGTGACTTAGCCACAATGGATACTAAAGTCAAAGGTGGTTTGGTGGCGAAGAGTACCGCACAAGCCATGATTCTTTCTTCAGGATGATGCTTCTGATTTTGGAATATCTGGACAGCGATACGTTGCACCTTGGAGATAATTTTTAAAAAAAGTGCTATGTAACCATGGTAATGGCACGTGGAGCTGACGCTGGAACTGGGCTAGATAATCAGGCTACTGAATTCAATGAAATTGAACACGGGCTGGTATGAGTAATGGGTGACTGCTGGGGCAAACCTCAATTTTTATGCCCCTGCCCATGGTCAATTTTGTCCAAAATCACCCATCTTTATTGAGAGATGGCAATGTAATGGGAATGTTACCAGACTAGTTATCCAGAAACACAGGCTAATGATCTGGTGACAAGATTAAAATCCCACCTATGGAGTTTAAGTTCAGTTGAATAAAAATCTGGAATTGAGCTAGTCTCAGTAACGGCTGTCATAAAAGCAGTAGCATATATCTGTTTCAATAATGTACTTTAGGAGAAGGAAGGAAGTCTACTGAGCTAACCTGTAGAGTGGGTTGACCCTTAACTGCCCTTTACAATGGCTGAGCAAAGCAGCCAATTCAGGGGCAGTTAGGAATGGCATCACCAGCGATGCCCACATCATGAAAGAGCACAGAATGATTTAAAATGTTGAATGTGATCAAGTTCAGAAAGAAATTGAAACAGAAGTCAATTTCATCGAAAGTAATAGAATACAAATCAGGGTAACGTACAATGCGTGGGTCCTTCCTTGCAATGTTGCGCAGGGCCAGGATAGCATCAACTCGGACTTTCAGTGGTAGATTGGTAGCTGCTGTGCCGAACCCAGGTAATAGCTTCATGATGTTCTTGATGCTTGCTGGCTGCCCTGCATTGCCAATCGCCTTGAGGCCAAGGACAATGTCCTCATCAAGGGGTCGATTGCTGGCATCAATGAGTAAGTCATGGATAGGCTGTAAAGACAGGTCCCAATTAGGAGACATTCAGAGGTCACACAATCACAGCAAAATGAGCAAGACAAGTCAATGAGTTAAACGTAGCTTACTTTCAATAAATCATCGGGGCAAGTTGATTTCTCTGCACATTGCCTGAAAACCATGGAACCATAGGCAAGGAGTACAAGCTTGCGGGAAAGACGGTGCCGGTTAATTTGTGGAAGCTGAAGGATTTCCTGCACAGAGAAAGCAAATGAGAGTAAGCATTACATTTACAATGTAATTGTTAACTTTGCATAAATGGCAATTAGTTTGGAATTAGAAATCTGCCGCATGTTTGTGGCACTGGACAAATAATCCAGAGAGCTTAAGCTGGATCCCACTTAATGTAGAATGTGAAATCAATTTAAAAATCTGTAACTTTAAAGTGGCTATGAAGCAACAAGGCAAGGGAATACATGGTGAATGGTAGGACTCTGGTGAACATTAAGGATAAGAGGGATCTTGATGTGCATGTCCACCAGTCCCTTAAGGAAGTGGAATAAGGGGAAATAAAGTGGTTAAGGAAGTATTTAGGATATTTCCCTTTATTAGTTGAGGCAACAAGTTTATGAGCAGGTGATGCTGGAACTGTATAAAGTGATGGTTAGGCCACAGCTAGAGTATTGTGTGCAGTTCTGGAATCCACATTATAGGAGGCATGTGATAGCACTGGAGATGGTGCAGAGGAGATTTACCAGGATGTGACCTTGGGCTGGAGAGTTTCACATATGAAGAGAGATTGGACAGACTGGAGTTATTTTTCTTGGACCTGAGGAGATTAAGGGAACATGAATGAGGTGGAGAAAATTATGAGGGGCATAGACAGGGTAACCAGGAAGAAACTTTTCCTCTTGATGGATGGATTAATGACCAGAGGGTGTAGATTTTAGGTAAGGGGCCAAGGGTTTAGAGGAGATGTAAGGAAAAACTTTTTCACACAGAGGCTGGTGGGAATATGGAACTCCCTGTCTGTAAAGTTGGGAGAGGCAGAAACCCTCATCACATTGAAGAAGTATTTAGATGCACACTTGTGATGTGAAAGCATACAAGCCAGGGGGCCAAGTGTTGGTCAATGGGATTAGAATAGTTAGGTCATTGTTTTTGACCAACGTAGATTCAATGGACAGAAGGATCTTTTCCTGTGCTGTAAATCTTAATGACTATAAGTTGTCAGAATTTATTTGTTAAAATGTCAGTGGGTTCATTGATAACTTTGGGAGAATGAAATCTGCTATTCTTACCAGAACTCCAGTTCCATACAATCATGGCTTACTGTGAAGTTGTCCACTTGGCTACTGGTGATGGCAGTAAGTGCTAAAGATGGCCACACTGCAAGAATGATATTATTTTTAAAATTGTATGTGCACAGAAGGTGGTGTGCACAGCCCAGACCATCATGGAAGCCAACCTCCCATCCATGGACTCCATTTACACGGCTCGCTGCCACAGAAAGGCAACCAACATCATTAAAGACCCATCACACCCTGGTAATGACCTCATACAACTTCGTCCATCAGGCAGAAGATACAGAAGCCTGAACACTTGCAGAAGCAGGTTCAGCAGCAGCTTCTTCCTGGCCATTATCAGACTGATGAATAGACTGTCTGGCCTCAAATAACACCGATTTTGCTAATGTTGATCACCTAGTGCATGCCCTGTGCAATGTAACCTTTATGCCTCTGTCTAAGTCTTTTTGATCACTACATCCTTGCTTACTATGATCTGCTTGTCCCGCTCGTAAACAAAGCTTTTCACTGTATTTTGGTACACACGACAATCTATCAATGAAGAATAGCACACCCACCTTCGTTAAAATTAGAACATCTCGATCAGTTTTGATTTGGTGCATAGTGAGAATGAGAATCTGAAGTATTTCAGCTTTGACGTTCTCTGATTCTTGAATTTGGCTCTTTAGGAATTTCAGAGATTCAATTCTTCCGACAGCAGGAAGTGCCTCGAGGAACCAGTGCCTACAGTTGGTGAATAAATGAGAGCTCCTTTTAGTTTTCATTCATTCTCTGTCCTGATTTAACATCATCAGTCACAATCCTATTTACTGCAGAAACTACATCAGTTCAAGAAGAGAGCTTACTGCTACTTTTTCAGGAGCACTATGATAAGTTGGAAACTGCTGTGTTTTGCTAGCTAAATCGAAATTTATCCACTCAACATACCAATACAATAATATGATGGATTACACTGCAACTTTTAAAATGGTTCATTGTTGATTCCTGAACAGCTTTCTCCAAACCTGCCAACCTCTACTACCTGGAAAGACAAGAGCATGGGAACACCATCATTTGCAAGTTCCTCTCAAAGTCACATGCAATGCTATCTTGGAAATACATTGGATTCCTTCAATGTTAATGGGCCATAATCTTGTAACTCCCTTCCTAATGGCACCTTGAGTGTTCCTATACCCCAAGGACTGCAATACTTCAAGAAGGTGGCTCTCCATCACCTTCTCCAAGGCAATTAGGAACAGGTAATAAATGTTGTCCTAGCCAGTGATGCTCACCTTCTGTGAAAGAAGGGAAACAAATTGATAGGATGTGCTGTGCAACTTGTTATTAATTATTACAATGAGTTAAACTACAGGTAGATGATGTAGCATAGATCGCCAGTCATGCTGGACATTGAATTATCATCATACTAGCAAAACATCTCCAATCCTCACACCAGCTCACTCATCATCTATATTTGAAAATCCCTGGTTACCAATGAGTGATGAAATTTTTGAATGGAATTGGCAGTTGATCAAATCTATTCTTAAGAGAAAAAATAAATGTGACCGTCATGGATTGTATTACTTGAAAGTTGAAGATTCTAAATGTGAGGGTCATTGATAAACTGATATCTTATATTTTGTTTTAATAAGACATGCCTTCGATTGGCAACGTTAGTTGAGACTTAAGGGGAATGGTTATTTCTGCCTTTTTGCAGGTCACCCTAGGCTGAGGTGAAGGTTCCAAAGCTTAGAGCAATGAGCCATGACCAGTGAATTTCTGGGACAAGTTGAGTGATAATGGTGAAGGCTCCAATTAAAAGCTGGCTTGCGTTTCCTTTAAATGCTCATGAACAAGACATTCTTTTCTCAAATCTTACGGCTTCTTTATCATTGAAGTTGGAAATGAGAGGCTGCTACGAGCAGCTGAAGAAGAAAACACAGTATCAAGCAGCAAGAAAAAATGTACAGGGAGGAGCTGCAATCCAGTGAAACATCATTCCACACATCAAGTGATTGATAGATTCATTGGATTTTGACTGAGATTGTCCAAACTCATTGCGCTTTGGATCTGTCATCTAAGTTAACCAAATAAAGTACAGGTGATAAATTTAAATTATGCATCTGATTACTATTAAAAACACGTAAAGATGTAGATTTGCAATTGAGGGCCAGAGGCAGAAGGGTCCCGTTGGATGTGATATTGCTGAATGATAGTCACTGCCGATCTTTCAGCTCAACATATTTTGGAGACAATTATAATTACATAAAATGTTCAACTTAAATAGAAATGTTAATGCTTCTACCTTTCTTCAGCGTGTGAGCGAATTGATTCCCAGACCTGTCCGAAGGCGCGGTAAGGAGCTATGCGTAGTAACTGGACAAGTTGCATGAGTCGATTTGGTGCATCAATTTGAACTTCCTGCACATTGTGCTGAGCCATGTGATTCAAGATATTTGTCACCTATTTAAAAACAGATAGGACACTTACTAAAATTAATTTCATTAATTATGGTGAAGTTCGCAGAAAGAGGCAAAGAATTGGCTGGTGAAATGCAGTTCCAACAACACTCCAGAAACTCAGTGCCATCTTGGGCAAAGCAGCCCAGTTAATTGACAACCCCCATCAGTGCCTTAAATATTCTTACTGTCCATCACTGACACACAGAGGCACAGATTTGCACCATCTTAAAGATGCAGTGCAGCAATTCATTTGACAGCATCTTTCAAACCTACAACCTCTACAACCCAGAACAAGGGCAGCAATTGGAATGGAAAGCTACCCACCTTGAAGCTCCCCTCTGAGCCAAACCAACTCTGACTCCACTCCAAGTCTAACTTTGGATGATATCACCATTCCTCCAATGCACTGGGTCAACATCCTCCCTCATGGCAATCCTCACAGCCCAAACACTGCATCATTGTGATAATAGTGGCATAATGGTAATGTCACTAGCAATCCAGAAATATAGACCAATGTTCTGGGGATGTGGACTCAAATCCCCCCATGACAAATGGTGAAAAATGCATTTGATAAAAGTCTGCAATAGTGAGATGGCCAAATGGTGATTCTCGTAAAAACTCACCTGGTTCACGAATATTCTTCAGAGAGGGAAATGTGTGTTCTTACCCAGTTTGGCCTACATGTGACTCCAGGTCCACAGCAATATGGTTGATCCTCTGGGCAATTAGTTATGGGCAGTAAATGCTGGCCCAGCCAGTGACACCCACATCCAATGAATGAAAAGAAAAGCTCATGATGGTGGCTCACCACTACCTTTTCAAAGGCAATAAATGCTGCCTTACCAGAGACCCCATATCCTATGAATGAACTGAACAGCAGAAAGAATATTCACTGATATATTCACCTGTTTTACCAGATTCTGGTCCTTAAGCAGCTGGAATGGTTGCTGGAGAACGGTGTTCACACTGCGATAATGTAAGCTTCCACGTTTTGACATTTCTGGTGTTTGTTCCGTCTGTTGAGATGTGATCTTCTCCAAGATAAGGCTTTGTCTGCAATGGGAAATGGTCATCAGAGGCTACCTCCAATGAAGGTGACAATGAAAGAAAGTAAATCAGCTTATTATAAAGGGGAGAAAGGATTGGGTTTGGGGTCACTGGGGAAAGCTTTTTATTTCACAATTAGTAAATGGCAATTTCATGCTCGGGCCAAATTTAACCTTGATTTAGGTCTACAGACGTTGCACTTACAGATAGCTGCAAGTTGTAAGTTACAGGCACTCGTAAGGAATGGAATGTAAAATGATATGGTGAGAAACATTAGAAAAGAAGAAAATTGGTTGCATAAAATCCAAAACCTTACCTGGCCTCCAATTGGACAGTCCCATCAAGTTCATGGAATGGTGTAAATTGATGAAGCTCTCGTACCCTGGCTTCCTGAATAATTGCACCCAGAGCTGTAGGTTTCAGGACAATGGTGGTAGCAGCAACTGCACGGATATTCTTGCCTCTCTGAAAGTAGGAATATAACACCTCTGTGATTACATTTCTGAGTATTTCCATTGGTAGTTTCAGAAAACATAGTCACGCATGACCCAATCCACCTCAGAGATGAAAGAATGGTGTTTTTTAGTCAGGAGCTGGATCCGAACTAATAATGATCTCATTTTTAGGGTCTTGCTGAATAAAGACATTTTATTGAAGCTTTTCATCTTGCACTCGTCAGGACAAGATAAAGATGCCACTGTTCCAACAAACCACTGGGCTGCTCTCTCATTAGAGAGACACAACTGGTGGGGGTTTAACCTGAGCGTTACTACACCTCAGGCAAGGGGAGAGGCTGAGAAGGAGACTCTTTCATGGAAACCTCAAGCGGTGCGGGAATTTAAAGTGCGCTGTTGGTGTTACTCTGCATTACAAACTAGCCATCCAACCAACTGAACTAGCCAATCCCCAATCTTGAAAGGATTCCATTCAAGGGGAAAACAACATTTCTAGTTCATGACAGGAGAGCACTGATAGGCAGGAAGTGGTCTCTGATTGGTGGAGGTATTACTCTGGAGAATGCAAACGAGAAAATAACGAACAACAGTTAAGTGTTAGGCTTTGTTTAAATTTTAAACCAGGCAGGTTGACACTGATTGGTCAAGCCATTGCCCTGAGAAATGATCCAGCGTATGGCTGCCACCTATTTTGTGGAGTTGAATCCGATGTATGTGTATTTACTCTTTGTCTGCAAAAATCTTACTTCAATTGCGGGTTAACTTGAAACTATTTGAGAAAGAAATGATGATGAAAAATGTACCTGCTGACAGGAAGGGCAGAGTTGGGTATAAATTGTTCCAGTTTGTTTTAAAATCCTCTCTTGACAGTTGGTGAGGTCCTTTGCTTTTGAAATAATCAAACGCTCCTTTCTCCTTTCCTCTTGAACTACATATCTTGCATGGCAGATTCCTTCAATCCCAGCCTAAACGTATCAAAATAAAATTCAGTTATTGAGAGATAGAAACTAGGAGAGAGCATAAGCTGATTCACCTCTTTGAGTCTGCTCCACCATTCAACATGATCATGGCTGATCCTTTAACTCAATGCCATATTGCCACATCCCCTCCAGCCCCCTTTGTGTGAAGAAATGTTTCCTCATCTCAGACCTAAAAGGTCTACCCTGTACCTTATCAGAACTGTTCTCCCGGATCTAGGGTTATCAACAAGGGGCAACATCCTCCCTGCATCTCGTCTGTCCAGACCTGTTAGTACTTTATACACTTTAATCAGACTCTCACTCATTTTTTCTAAACTCTGGTGAATACAAGCCCAGTTGAATCAATATTTCCTCTGCATATCCTTTCTTAGATAGGGGGGCCATAACTGCTTGCTTTGCAAAATTGCATGAGAGAAAGCCAGAGTCAATGAATTATAAAATTTTGTGAAAAAAAGAAAGCACCTCTTGCAAATCGTAGAAGTTTTGGGATTTTTTCATTGTGATCTGCAACATGTTCATGATTCCTTTGTGGATGTTCAAGAGATCTTCGGGTAGGCTTTCAGGAGCGAAGATATTTCCCACTCGGCCATTGTTGTACTCAAACTTTACAGGTGTGGTCAGGTGTGGAGTCAGTTTGGCCGTCAGCTGACGGAGAGAGGAAAACGGGTCTTTGGGCCAAATTCCATTCAGCTGTTGAAGCTGAGGGCTGTCGAGCTGAGATGAAAAAATATACAAGAGATTAACGCTATGCCAATACATAACTTACCCCAAACTTCATGAAAAAATATGATTTTCACCGACTTTTACATTGCAACCTTATGCCTGTAACTGTCACCATTTCAACTAATTGATCAAAGCTATCCAATCCTTCAATTCTATCAGAGATAGTAGGAACTGCAGATGCTGGAAAATCTGAGATAACAAGGTGTAGAGCTGGATGAACACAGCAGGCCAAGCAGCTGATGAATGGTCTAGGCCCGAAACGTCAGCCTTCCTGCTCCTATGATGCTGCTTGGCCTGCTGTGTTCATCCAGCTCTACACCTTGTTATCTCAATCCTTCAATTCTGACTGTTTATGCATTCTGCCTGATCTCCTGCACCACACCATCCATGGATTTGAAGAGCAAGTCCAGCATAGCACCAAACTCAGTTTTGGAAGCGTTCAGAGACTCACTCTTTTGGGCCTCTTGAACACTTCCCAATCCAATTCTTTTGAATGTGTGCACTTTAACTGTGATTGGAGCCTTGCAGACATCTTTGATTTGGCAAATTGCACAAGATTCATCTGGATTGTTATGCCAGCCAAGCAGTAGGATGGGTTCATAGTTGACTTGCACCATTTTCAGTACATATGCTCAGAATAATTACTGTCAGTTAAAGGCCACTTGGCCAATCAGGTCTGTGCCTTTTGTTTTTGTTTCATGAGCATTTTTGTATCTTCTATCATGTAACCCTATCAGCGTATGTTCCTTTCCTTGCTTCCTCGCATAATTACCTCGATTCTGTACTTTTAAAAAAGTTTTCTTGTGGAACCTGAGCATTGCTAGCTAGGCCAGCATTTAATGCTCATCCCTTGAGAAGGTGGTGGAGAGCTGTCTTCTTGAACTGCCATAGTCCCTGTGCTGTAAGTTTTTTTCTCCCTTTATTCATTCACGGAATGAAGGTGTTGCTGGAGAAGCAGCATTTATGCCCATCCCCAATTGCCCAGAGGGCAGTTAAGAATCAACCACATTGCTGTGGGTCTGGAGTCACATGTAGGCCAGACCAGATAAGGATGGCAGATTCCTTCCCTAAAGGACATTAGTGAACCAGATGGGTTCTTCCAACAATCGACAATGGATTCACAGTCATCATTAGATTCTTAATTCCAGATATTTATTGAATTCAAATTCTACTATCTGCCATGATAATACCTCCAGGCCATCACCTCCCCATTATGGTAGGATGTTAGGAAGGGAATTCCAGGATTTGGACCCAGCACCAGTGAAGGAAAGACAATATATTTCCAAGTCAGGTTGATGAGTGGCTTGGTGTTCCCATATATCAGCTGCCCTTGTCCCTCTGGAAGCAAGTGATCTTGGGTTTGGAAGGTGCTGTCTGAGGATGTTTGTTGAATTTCTGCAGTGTATCTTGTAGACAGTACACACTGCTGCTACTGAACGTCGGCGGTAGAGGGAGTGAATGTTTGTGGATGTGGTGCCAATCAAGTGGACCGCTTTGTCCTGGATGGTGTTGAGCTTCTTGAGTGTTGTTAAGCTAAGCAGTCATTACTTTCCTCCTTTAGACCTACTTTAGCCCTGTTTCAAATAAGCCTTGAAAGTCATCAAGAATTTTTGGAGCATCTCACTTTTGTCTTTTGCTCTTAGTGAAAGGCGTAAACAAGTTTATTTTGCACATTTGCATGGCTGGACCTGGAAAACCATGGCAGGGAAAATTGTGACTGTGGTAGATCTCACCATCTTCGCTCTAAAACTCTTCATTCCTGTCATCAAGACAATAATAATATCATAGCTACAAACACATTGTTAATTGTTTTGGATGCTTTAATACTGTTTGAACAGCTTAGATCCGATCACAGATAGGAACTTGTGCTTTAGTTCTGAAGTAAAACTCATTTCCATCGCTTAAAGACCCAATGCAATCTCTTGAATGATATTATTTCATTTCCACTTGATCCCACTCATCTCATACCGTAGCAAACTCCACAAGTTTCCATACCTGAAGAAGGTACTGATTTGTCCCTAGTCCCCTGATTTTCACTCTGCTGCTTATTCTAATGCCAGCTCTGTTCAAGCCTTTCTCCGGTAGTCCAGTCAGAATCACGCCATCGTATTTGTAAATGTGCAACTTGTTTTCAGAGAAGCTGGGACCTGTGTAAATTGAAACAGTTAAATAGCATCAAATTGTGAAATATCAAATTGCAATGGCAGCAAAAAATATTGATGGTATATGAATACAAAATACATACTATATCTGTTGACATGTTCACTCCCTGAAAATTAAAGAAGAAATATAAATGAGCATAGACTTTACCAAATGGTCAAGATTTTGCTTTAAAAAAATAGCAGTGGTCAGGAGAGGGGAATGTTTCAAGCATAGCCTTACCCGCAAAGGCGAGAGCCAACAAGAAGATGATTGCCTTCATGTTGAATCTTGAATTGGTTGGGTTCTGTCTCCCCGTGTATATATAGCCAGTAACCCTGCATCAGGTGACCACTTGAGATTGTCATGTTGCTGAATAATCCACTTTTTATCAGGACCAAAGTTCACGATTTTGGAATAACATTATTCCTTTTAACTAACTTTGAAGAGACAACAGGTCCCCAAATCTTAACATGATATGGAAAACAGCATTTCATTCTCATTATAAAAGCAATGACCATCTAAAATTTTTGTTAATTTATCCAGACATACATTTGTAAAATGTATTAATGTTAAATTGATGATGTGGCTTGACATGGCTGTAATCTTATTGCACAGGTTATGATGACCCAGAGATATCAAGATAAATGTGCACTTATTGGTACAGTGACTATGTGACACACATTTTGTTCCATCTGTCAATTTTTTGTTGACTTTGTTGAAATTTGCTTTGGGTCACATTGAATCTTTGAAAAAAAGAAACTGCAAACAAGTAAAGCAGTCCACCTTAGTCAGACATGCAAATCGATAATTACAAGTTGGAGGAATGCAGACACAATGATTTTGCGCAGAATTTCATGGTCAGGAAAGCATGATTCTGAATTCCAATTAGATTCACAATCCACCTGGCCAAGTTAAATGATGAACATTTGGATAGTGACACTTGTTCAGCAATGAGTTAATTAAATCTCTTCTTCTTCAATTGGTCTTTCAAATTATATTTCATTGGACTGCTCTCTTACATGAATCATTGATGAAGCCATTCTACAAATTAGGCATTTTAACTGTACAAGCACATTGTTAACTGTTTCCATTGTACCTTAGGAGCACCTCAGAGGATTCAAGCAACTTCATAGAATCATACAATACAGAAAAGGCCCTTCAGCTCGACAGGTCTGTACGGCCAAAGCTACACTAAATCTATACTATTCTCACTTTCCCACACTAGGGCCATAACCTTGGATGTTATGACACTTCAAGTGCTCATCCAAGTACATTTTAAAGCTTATGAGGTATCCTGCCCCAACTCCCCTCCCAGCCAATGCATTCCAGGCCCCCACCAGCCGCTGGGTGAAAGAAATTTTCCTCAACCCCCTCTAGACCTCCTGCCTTTCACTAAAACGTTACACTCCCCTCTTTTTGACCCTTTGAGTAGGGGGAACAGCTGCTTTCTATTCACCTTGTCCATGCTCCTTGAAATCTTATAAACCTGTCTGATCTTGCACCATGCAAGTTGTTTTAGAATCTGGGGTTTGGGATCACATGAGGGATCAAGAGCTCAAGTTTTAGGATTGTGAGCTTTGAGGTAGCAATACCTCTGTGGAGTTCTGACTGAGACCAAACATCAGCAGCTGTTAAAATCAATTCAGGACAAGGGGCAATAGTCTGAAAATTCGAGCTAGACTCATCTTTGTTATTTATCATTGTTATCATCTATCATTGTTATTCTAAATGAGGAAGGACCATTTTGAAGAAAAGCATTCTCTTCAGTGTTCCAGCCAGCCAGCGTTACTCCTTCACTTAACATCAATGAAGCAAATTATCTAGTTATTATTGCATTGCTATTTGTAAGGTTTTACTCTATTCAGTTTTTTTGTTATGTTTCACAACTAAAGCCAACATCTTCTCAATGGCAACTAGGGATGGGCAAGAAATGCTGGCCAGCCAGCGACGCCTACATCCCACAAAACGAATAGAAAAAAAACATACTTATAGAGTCAGAGAGTCAGAGATTCATACAAAAAGGAAACAGACCCTTCGGTCCAACCAGTCTGTGCCAAACATAATCCCAAACTAAACTAGTGTCGCCTGCCTGCTCCTGGCCCATATCCCTCCAAACCTTTCCTATTCATAGATCCATCCAAATGTCTTTTGAACATTGTAATTGTACCCGCATCCACCACTTCCTCAGGAAGTTCATTCTACAATCGAACCACCGTCTGTGTAAAATAACTGCCTGTCATGTCTTTTTCAAATCTCTCTCCTCTCACTTTAAAAATGTGCCCCCTTGCCTTGACTTCCGCCAAAGGGAAAAGACAGCTACCATTAACTCTATCCGTACATCTCATTACTTTATAAACTTTTACTAGGTCGTCTCTCAACCTCTTATGCTCCAGTGAAAAGAATCTCAGCCTATCCAGTCTTTCTTTATAATTCAAACCTTCCAAACCTGGCAACATCCTGGTAAATTTATATCTGAACCTTTTCCAGCTTAATAATATCCTTCCCATAACTGACCGACCAGAACTGGACACAGCATTCCAGAAGAGACCTCACCAATGTCCTGTACAACCTCAACATAATGTCCCAACTCCTATAAACAAAGGGCTGAGCAATGAATACAAGCAAGCCAAATGCCTTTTTAACCACCCTGTCTATATGTGTCACAAACTTCAAGGAATTATGTAACTGCACCCCAGATCTCTCTGTTCTACAACACTAGCCAAGGCCCTACCATTAATTGTATAAGTCCTGCCCTTGTTTGTTGTACCAAAATTCAGTAACTTACATCTATCCAGATTTTTTAGCCCATTCGATCAAGATCCCTTTGTAATCTTAGAAAACCTTCATCACCGTCGCCACCAATTTTGGTGTCATTGGCAAACCTACTAACCATGCCTTCTATATTCTCAACCAAATCATTGACATAAATGACAAACATAAGAAGACCCAGAACCGATCCCAGCGGGATACCACTGGTGACAGGCCTCCAGTCTGAAAAGCAACCTCCACTACTACTCCAGAAATGGAGAGGGGTAAGAGAGCTGGGAAATAAACAGAGAGAGGAAGGGTGGTGCTGGGGAAGGCAGGTAGGATGGTGATAGGTGAGTGCAGGTAAAGGGTAGTGGTGGTGTCCATCTTCTCTCCCATCTATCCGCCCCAACCTTCCCACTGACCAATCCTCACCAATGCCTACCTGCACTCACCTATCACCATCCCACCTACCTTCCCCACCACTCCTCTATCTATTTATTTTGGAACTCCCTTCCCCCTCCCCATTTCTGAAGAAGGGTCCCGAACTGAAACGTCAGCTTTCCTGTTCCTCTGATGCTGCCTGGCCTGCTGTGTTCCTCCAGCTCCACACTGTGTTATCTCTGACTCCAGCAACTGCCGTTCTTGCTATCTCCCCTACTATTACTCTGCCTCCTGTCATTAAGCCAATTATGTATCCAGTTGACAAGCTCACCCTGAATCCCATGTAACCTAACTACTAATTAGTCTACCATGCAGAACCTTCTTTGGTTATAAAGTGCTTTTGGGCATCCTGAATCAATGAAGGGACTACAGGAGCTCCTGACAGCTCTGCAGTGTGCCTTTCATAGGGTTTGACCATTTGCAGTCCATTTTGGCAGGAAGAAAGGATGAGCAGTACACTATTTAAGCAGAGAGAGATTGCAAAATGTAGTGTACAGAGGGTGTCCTAATACATGATTCACAAGTACTATTAACAAGTGAGCTGGAAAGCCAATGGAGTATTGTTTATTGCAAAGGGAAGGAAATATAAAATTAGAAATGTTTTTTCCAGAACCACTTCTACAGTTGTGGTCTCCTTATTTGGAAAATAATAAGTAATTACAATAAAAGTAATTCAGAGATGATTCACACAACTCATTCCTGGGATGGAATATTTGAGTCATATTTTAAGGGTGCTCAAAGAAAATGTGCAAAACAGAGAGATGGAAAGATTAGGAAAGGTGTTCTTGAGCTTGGAGTTGAATGCATGAGGTTAGTAGTAATCAAAATCAGAGATGCACAGATTTGGAGGAGCACAGAGGTTTTGGATGTTTACGCAGCTGGGGCAGTTACTGAACTAGAATCCCTACAGTGTGGAAACAGGTCATTCAGCCCATTGAGTCCACCCTCACCCTTCAAAGAACATTCCACTCAGATCCACCCCTCTACCCTACTCCTGTAGCTATGTATTTCCTATAGCTAATCCACCCAATTTGCACATCCCTGGACTATGGGCACTGTAGCATGGCCAATCCACCTAAACTGCACATCCTTGAACTATAGGAGGAATCAGGAGCACCAGGAGGAAACACACACAAATACGGGAAGAACTTGCAAACTCCACATAGACAGTCACCTGCAGCTAGAATCAAACCTGGGTCCCTGAGCTGTGAGGCAGCAGTGCTAACCACTGAGTCACCATGCCACCCTATAACTAGGGAGGGGTAAAGCCATGCAGAAGCATGTGAAAGCATACGCATGTAGGAATTAGGTGCAACAGTAAGCTATTTGGCCTACCCCTCAAACCTGCTCTGCCATTCAACATGATCACGGCTGAAGTGAATACTCAATATTCCTGCTGATCCCTGATAACCTCTTCCTCATCAAGATTCCATCTACCTCTATGTTAAAAACACACAAACTGTTTCTACCATCTTTTGAAGAAGTAAATAAGGGCGTGAGTTTTAAACTGAAGTGTTACTGAAATGTCGCTCAGCTGTGATGGATGAATGGGACTTTATGTGAGTTAAGATACAGGCAGTAGTGCTTTGGATGAGATCAAGATAGTTGAGCAATCAGTGGGAAAGACTGTGAAAGACGGTCCAAGTGAGCATTGGAATAGTTACCGGTAAGTCCGGAGAATAGCTTGAGAAACAAATGTTGTATATCAGAGAAAATATTGGAAGTGTGACTGTAACTCTTACAGGTTTTAATTCTACATGAGTTTCAAGTACAAATGAGCATCACAGAGAATAATGATTGATGACACTAAAGGTAGTGACTATGGGAGAATTTAAGGATATGGGGTAGCCATTTAAGACTGAGATAAGGAGAAAATTCTTCACCCAAAGAGTGGCAAGCCTGTGGAATTCTCTGTCACAGAAAGTGATTGAGGCCAAAACATTGAATGATTTCAGGAAGGAGTTGGATATAGTTCTTGGGGCTAAAGTGATCAAAGGGCATTGGGAGAAAGTGGGAACAGGGGGCTGAGTTGGGTCACCAAATCAGCCATGATCATATTGAATGGTGGAGCAGGCTCGAAAGGCCGAA